TGTATAACTTTATATTCCTAGTCGTCTGCTACTGTTACACATGAACTGTGGTTCAACATGCAGGTTTTAAATGTTTGGCGTTCAGTGGCTTGATGATTGCTATGTACGTTACATGAGCATATGCCACAGCTGTTTATGACAGGACCAGGTTTTGACTCGATTTCAACTTACAGTAATAAGATTATCCTGATGAGCGTGCGAGATAGTAGATTTTGTTTAAAGAATATATTTCAATATATTAACTAGCATACTTAATAGTACAAAGATAATGGTGTACAGACCTTGGTATCTGTGTTGGTTTGAGGCGAATATAGACCTTTGCTGTTTAGCAACAACTGTGCACTTTCCACATTATAAAACCAGAAAAGTACCAGTTAACATTTTTTTTAGGATGCATATTCGATTTCCTTTAATTTTTCTTGTTTTCTGACCTTAGTAGGATCAAACCCACTTAAACAGTTGGAAACAGTTCCGTTTTTATCCTGACATCACAATAGTGAATCCAGAAAGTGGTAAAATGTATGAAGATCACCTACTATGTACGCGTATGATGTAAATAGTTAGTAAAATAGTCCTATCTTCAAAAAAAAGAACATAAGTACAAAGCAGAACACTATCGCCAAGTATTTCTAACGTACATAGGCTTCACAATCATACAACACATAATTACCATCAATACCACACTCACTCACACAAAAAAAATATCCGATACGATTTTAATTTTAAAATTATAAATTTCCCCAACCTAAGCAGCAATATACCAACTTCACCTACATATGGAATATACATATCCCTACTCATTCGGTATTCAAGGGCTTGCAGGTGCTACTCAGACTTTATAAAATGTCACCAGTGTCTGAACAGTGTTATTGTGTTCTTTTTATTTGTCTTTGTAAATGGTTAACCTTAACTGTTAAGTCCATTTTTTGGTAATATCTTTTTGGCGTGGCTCGGTATTTATATGTCCCGCCATTGTGTTATTGTGCTATGGTCATTTTTTGTATTCTTGTCTTTCAATTTTGCTTATGTACTTTGTCTATTGAGTGTCTATATGCCATTTTGTTTTTGTTTTTTTGTTGACACAGTTGTTTGTTTCTATAGTGATTAAGATTATAACACAATGTTGACTGCTGTACCCCAATTTTTGACATGTTTGCCTATTATGTCTTTTTATTTTGCTCACCCATTATTGTCAATATAATGGGACTGTCATACAAAAGAGGGACGAAAGATACCAGAGGGACAGTCAAACTCATAGATCGAAAACAAACTGACTACGCCATGGCCAAAAATTAGAGGTTTAGCCAGCTATAAAACCAGGTTTAATCCACAATTGTTTTACATTAGAAAAATTCCTGTACCAAGTCAGGAATATGACAGTTGTTTTCCATTCGTTTGATGTGTTTGAGCTTTTGATTTTGTCATTTGATAAGGGACTTTCCTTGAATTTTCCTTGGAGTTCGGTATTTTTTTTTTATTTTACTTTTTATCCAACATCATATGCAGCATCGCTTCCGCATTAATTGTCATGCGAAACATAACTAATGGAGTTTATGGATGACATACAATCTAGAACAAGGAAAGCAAACAACACAGACTGCTTAATAAGGACTCTCCGAAGGCTTTTGATAATGTGAATTTTTCACTTCTAATCCATAAGCTTAGACAATATGGACAAACAAATGGATTGTTAGATTTGTAAGTGGGCAACAGTTAGAAGTGGTTAAAGGAGTAAGCTCAGGCTGCTTTATTGATGTTGAATCAGGTGTACCACAGGGTTCAGTTCATTTCCTCTTCGACAACAATGATATACCAAAGGGAATCAGATCTAGAATAAGAATAGACTGGGAACATCCATGGTTTATGAAGTGCAATGCAGACAAATGAAATATCATGACAATCAACAAGAAAAGTAATCCAATCGTGGAAACTACAATCTACACGGCCATGTACCATCAGCTAAGACTTAAACTGGAATAGACATGTTCATAACATCTGACAAAAAGCTAAAACATATGTACAACTACTGGGAACTGTCAGGGGAGACAACTATGTTAGGAATGCATACAAGTCATTAGACAGCATTATAAAGTGCAAGTGCAATATGTGCAAGCATATCAACAAAAGAGCAAGATAACAATTGAGATGGTACCGCACAGAGGGATTAGGTTTGTCATAAATAGATACTGTAGTACATCATCAGTGAATGTTACGATAAAACCACTAGAGTGGCAACAATAAGAACAGGGAATGTCAACAACAAGGATGTGCATCATGTACAAAACCACAAATGCACCTGTTAGTATAGATGCACCATCTAGGCTTATTACAACAAGCAGAGCACCAAGAAAATCTCATACTGGATGCTATTAAGTTCTCTTATGTGTATGACAGACATATGGAAAATGTCATTCTACTCTAAATTCTGGAATTGAATGCCTTACGGCTTGCCAGACTCATTGCAGACATGTATATACGTCATTATTATTATGGACTTTATGTGCAACACAAAGTGGCAGAATAATAAGACTGTTGATTGTGTCCGCTAAACATTAAAAAGGAGTACCAGCTTTGACCCGCAGTACGACTTCGACATTAATGTGTATGTTTGAAAGATGACACCGAAGAAGAAGTAAAGCAATTATTAAACAATTTCAGAGAAATACAAAAATAACTACAGACTATTCAAAGTGTATAGTCGCTTTTTGGGAAACACCGATTTTCTCAATATACGAAAGGAATAAAATACACTATCACCGAGATCAAAACCAATTTAAAGCTTAGAATGATTTATTTACTAAATGAGATAAAACTCATCAAAGATACCAGACTAACAATTTGGTACGCCAGACTCTAATTTTACGAAGTGGAAGTACATTAATGACCGGAAATGTCAAAACGCCTAATTTTTGTGCCAAAAACGGCTAAGGCAATTCATACCAATAGGTTGGAAAAAATCTTAGCGTTTTGAATATTTCAACATTTTATAAACAGTAAAAAATAAATCTTAGAGAAATATCACCAATATTCACTAATGTAGACAAGAAACACATTAAAACAGTCCTTTATGACCGATCAGGATTCTAATTTCACTTCCAGTCTGTAACATAGTTTATGTAGAATCCCTAGATGAACATCTATAAATCTTGCAAATCACGCCACTCCGACATCTTACACAGAGAAGCCTACATTTTTTATACTGGTAAAACATCTTAATAAAAATATCTGATTTTACATTAACTGAGTATCGAACTAAATTATACGTTGTGGAAAGTTGTCCCAAGATGCATTCCATTTTTTTCTAGAATTGAACTGTTTTTGTCAGCAATGTTAATTATCTCAAATGTAGGGATTTTACACACAATGTTGTCATATAACAGGTTTGGTTGTTCTATTTAGGTCTTTAGGATCTGTTTCAAATATTTTATATTCTAGCATTCCAATACGTTTGGACTAGAATGAACTGTTAATATAAGAATAGGAAGATGTGGTATGAATGCCAATGAATCCAAAAGAGACCAAAAATACAGTAGAAGAAATAAAATATTAATATAATGGAATATGTGGACAGCTCTCTTACAAGCAAAAACCCTAACTGTAAAATATAAGTACGTTACTACAGAAAAGGGGTCACGTGATCACAAAAAATAAACTGCATGATTAGTTTACTATACCACAGTGTCGGTACCGCTGCTTGTGTGTCCCAACGGTTCTTTCCACCCGGAGACATTGCTTTAGTACAATTTCCTCAGACAGTATTGTCCTTATAAGGGTTTGGATGTTCTTTAGATCCTTTCAGATTGTATGCTCTCAAATGTATTTTATTTTGGCTTTTCGGGTCTAGAGCGTACCTGATGAACGTTTTTCCATATAGATACAGATTTCAGTGGACCTTTTATACACCCCCAGTTTTTGGTGGGTGTTGCTCAGTCTTTAGTTTTCTATGTTGTGTTTTGTGTACTGTGTTTATCTGATTGGTCTTTTTCTTCTTTATCGACGTTGTCAGTTTATTTTCGACTTATGAATGTCCCTTTGGTATCTTTCGTCTCTCTTTTATACCGATCTAAACACTGATTTTCGTTTGTCTTATTAGCGTTTATAATAACTACTCATAAAAATGACAACAAAACAACTTAGATTTTTTGCAATGGGAGAAATTCTTGTGAACCAATATATTTGACTGATTTGAATCGATTGATGATTTCTACATGTTATTGTTATTGTACCACTGAACTGAAACATATCAAAATGTATTGGGATTAATTACTATTAAAACGGATGAAGATATGAGCAAATAATGGTCGAAGTGGTGTTTTCTTAAGATAAAGTGACATTAAACAACCAAACATTCAATCTGAGAAATCCAGCTTTGTCAAAACACTTCAACACACGCGCTTTGAGTTTTGGTTTCTTTTTTACTACATATATTATTTCAGCTTTCCCCCAATTATTCAAATATTCTTGCTCATACCAACACAATCTGATAGTAGCAGCAGTATATATATTTGCAACCCGTCAATATGCTCTTATCTTCTACGTAGAGGTGGGACGTATTTTCTATGAGGAGAGGTGGCATATCAGTTTATTTACTCTGATCATCCACGTTGAGAAGTGGTACAAATGTGCCAAACACCTACTAGTATGTATTATTTATCTCCTACATGTACTGGTGGGGCATTCGTGCCTCGTCACGCTTATCTTCCGCATGTAGAGGTGGCGCGCTAGTGGCCCTACTACACATATTTTCTACGTCGAAAGCTGTTACATAGTTTCCCCATCTATATACTCTTCTACTACTATCAGAAATGATGCACTGAGCAAGAACACGTTAAAGTAAAAAAGTGAAGTAATCAAGAAATTATGTAGAAAAATATTTGATATTGAACAATCCCCCATGCGCCTTTAAACCGAACCTGGAAAACAGACAGATGGTGTAAATGTACAAATATTTTCAAAAATCTTTTATTTAACAAAATAGATATTTAAACTAATATCTATTATAAAATATCTATAAAGTTACAACTTAGCCACAGCATACTTTAAAAACGCTAGATGTGCCACGTGATATCATTTCATAAAGTGATAATAGTGGTTACAGGAATATTTATATATATATATATATATATGTAAACCAACTAATTTTCGCGAGCGATTTATTTTCGCGACTTTCGCAAGTAGAAAAATGTCGCGAATATAAATCGTCGCAAATATGTAAAACTTTGATTTTTCCTTATTTATCTACATCAAGTAAATTTGAAAATCGCGAAATGGATTAGAAAGGGCAAAACGCGAAATAAAGTATCCGCGAAAATAAGTTGGTTTAAAGTATATGTTATAGAATCTGGTAACCATTATCTCATTGACTGGTCCTAGTGCGACTCCATCTAGCGTTTTTGGAATGGTCAAATATTCTATCACTTAACAATAATCAATTAAATCTTACATAGAACAATCATACATAAACATTAAACATACAATTTGATTCGGAACTTTATAGTATATTTCATTTCGAATGTATGTCCCCCTTAGATATATCCTTCAATACAAATTAATGAAACTATGTCATATTATTAACTACATAGAAGTCTTTGGTGAGCTCTTAACTCAAACATTTGTTATCATAAACACACAATTATTAAACACTTTTTTCTTCTCAATTTGCGTATAGAAATAAAATTTTGCTATTTTAACAATTTAACCATAGTCTGGAATAAAATGTCTCTCTGTAGACCTCTCCTCTAGACAATAAAACACACCATTCTCTCTCTCTCTCTCTCTCTCTCTCTCTTTCACTCTAGATTTTTCCTCTAGACAATGAAACCAGTTATGGTTCTCACTTAATAAAAATACGATGTTTGGTTGTTCCACCAATTCGTTATGCTTTCTATGTTTGTTGTCGAACACTCGCCATAGCCATAACTGTTTCTGAAGATAAAAAATCAGGACTTCTAATCAAAAAGTTATTTCATCGGAACATGCAATGTAGAATTTGGCGACAGTTTTGAATGGTGTTTTTAAGCAGGTGTCGGATTAATCAACTTTATCATGAAATTGTATTAGAAATGCTTGTACGTTGTCTTCAAAGAAAAGGGAATAGGAACGATATGGTGTATTATGTTAAAGTTTCTTTTTATTTAACAATTGAAAAATGACACAATGATTACTAAGTAACTGGAGGTACTATTTTAAGTAGCAAATGTTAAACAAAATCTAGGACAATTTCCATAAATAATAATCGTAAAGTTGGGTTGCTGTCTTATTACGAGTCTTATTTGTCCCTTTCTTTTCACGTTTAGTATTGTTCTTCATTGTTTATTCACTACTCTCTTTGTATCCTCTAACTATTCAAACTTCGTACCACTAAATAAAACAGTATAGCATAACTAACCTTCAAAACTTAAACCATTGTCGCTGTTAATATCCCCACGTTCAATCATACTCTCTCCTACAAAATCAGCCAGTTCTTGCGGGAATTGTAGTGCCTTCTTATAGAATCGGGAAATCTCTGATGCTTCCAGTCGTTCGTTATGATTACTATCCCCTATACTGAATAAGGTCCAAGCTAAATCGTAGTCACTAACCGGGTCTTTACAAAGAATTGACTAAAATATACAATTAGAACATAAAACAGGGATAATAATAATGGACTTGATCTATTTGGAATGTGATGTATTTCGTTAAGGTATTGTTCTTACGATTAAAAATTCTGATTGCCAATGCAGCTTGTTTGAATTTCTTTCTGTTATTTGAAATATTGTGTCTAGGCCGAATTACCTTCCAATAAAGGGTTTTACGCAACATTATTAAAAGGAAAAATACGTCTTTTCTTGTATTTTCTTACAAATAAAAGACTAAAAACGAAGCCTCTTCCTGAGTTGATTGTTTTGAAATGTATAACACAGGTTCCAGATCTGTGTGATAGCAATTAAAATACTGCTTAAATTTAATAATTGAAACCTGAAACTTAATAAATGTATTTGTAACCCTTTTCTATTTAACATATTTTTCCTTTTCCACCTCTTTCCCATTTCACTTTTTGTTCAGAAAGATGAATAGATTTACCTGAAAGTATATACAGAGAGCTATAACTTGTAAGCAGGTCTTCATTTCAAAGATTGTTGATCTGAAACGAAATCAATAATATTAATTTCAAAAGTACAGCCAAACATGCTATAAAGGTCACCTTAAAAAAGCGGAAACTTGTCTTGTCTTGTCCCGTTGTAGTAATACCTACGCATTTGGAATCTCAATTAAAATGTCACAGCCCTCTCTTATAAGGTCAGTTTTCTGTGGTCCAGATGGTGTCCTTTATACACAAGTTTTAACAGTAGTTAGAATGGAATTTCTCGCATTTAAGATGGTATCCTTTTTTTTTATTTTTTTTAAATTTTTAATGATCCTAAATGTTGTACTTTCCATACAAAGTAATATACTATATTTGTTCTATAATTAATGATAATCGTTCTTAATGACTGCTATACATGTTATTCACCCACAGACTATTCTAGAAATTTGAGGAGTTACGACCCTACCCATGTGTTGATAGCCTAGAGAATTTAGAAAAAAAAAAAAAAAAATAATCTGTATTACCAGAGTTATTTCGATTTAGAAATGTGAACTAAAACGCTGACTTTTATAATGGCGACTTCTTATTGAACATGCATGCCTGATTTTACAATCACAGATATCCCCAACGATTTAAATTGATTGAATAGTTGTACAATATTGAAACAAGTATAATTTATAGCTTATACATAATTAACAACATATGACACCCTGGGTCCTAACATTTAAGTAGATGATGTAAAATAATGATCTTACATCGATGGAATTGTACACAGACGTATGATATGTATGTATTAATATTTGTAAAAGGCACAAGTTTTCATACTTGGGTATAATAAATACTTTTAATTATCGATATGTTGTCGATCTAGTCATTGTGGACTCGGTAAGATGTAAAGGATCTTTTATAAATACGTATTACATTCAAAAATGAAGGTTACAAAGGCCATCTTGAATCTCATATTTATTAATGAGACTATGACACAAGGACCACACACACACACACACACACACACACACACATAAAACCGAGCCAATAATTAGATTCTAGAAATCTTTAGAATAAACTGTGAATTATCATGAAACAAGTCAAATTATTTATGATTAAAATATGATATATATTCATAGAAAGACTAATTCACCAAAATCATCAAAATCAAAAGGGCACTGGCCTTCATAAAGCATGATACCTTTAAAATAATTCTTTAAAACAATATAAAGAGCTGCAGATGAAACAAAAATGCTTGTTAGTTTTTAAAGATACACCAATCTTGTCGGTGTGAAGGTGTAATGAGTCCAAGATGCCTACTGTCATCTAGTAACTTCGATATTTTGACAATGTCATCACTGTGAAAAAAAAAATAAGCTCGGATCTGGAAATAGTATACAAAGTCAATAATTATGTTCCATCTCAGATCAAACTTGAGTCGTCATAATATATGCTCTGAATTGTTGATTTTATAGGTTTAACGTCCCATTACTATGGAAGGACAGACACAAAATTGTCTTTAATTTCCCATTACTATGGAAGGACAGATATGAAAATTGTCTTTAATGTCCCATTACTATGGAAGGACAGATATAAAAATTGTCTTTCATGTCCCATTAGTATGGAAGGACAGATATGAAAATTATCTTTAATGTCCCATTGGTATGGAAGGACAGATATGAAAATTGTCTTTAATGTCACATTAATATGAAAGGACAGATATGAAAATTGTCTTTAATGTCCCATTTTTATGGAAGGACAGATATGAAAATTGTCTTCAATGTCTCATTACTATGGAAGGACAGATATGAAAATTGTATTTAATGTCACATTAATATGGCAGGACAGATATGAAAAGTGTCTTTAATGTCCTATTAATATGAAAAGACAGATCTTAAACTTTGTCAAAATTGAAAAGAAGATTGTCTTCATAGAACCAAACAGTATTTAAAGATTTCGTTAAAATTTGTCCGGGAAACGGGGGGAAAACAGAAAGACGGATAGCGGTTATAACTATAATTCGGTCCTTATTTGATGGATTGAACTGTTCATATCCACGCAAAAACTCAAAGAAAAATAAAAAATCTCCACAAAGACACAAAACCAAAACAGTGGAAAAAATGACGATTCGTATTTCTACTTGTTTTACCGACTATCACGGGTGATGCTAAAAAATAACGGCTACCGTAGCAAACTGTTGATGAATTCAAATATCCGAAAAATATTAGAATAATTAAGTAAAAGTAAATTAGGAAATAAAAACAAACTTTTATTCAGTTTTTTCTCGTTGGTTAAATCATGTAAGTAGAAGTGAGGCGGAAGATACCAAAGGGATATTCAAACTCATGACAACCTACAACGCCATGGAAACAACGAAAAACACTAAATAGAAACCTAAAGAAGTTACTATTGGCCTCTCCTAAAGTTTATCGTAAGTGTGAACAACATGCAACATTATCAAAATATCGAAATTGTCACAGGAATTAGATGTTCCGAAGGCATGTGCATCCCTTTCACACCGTCAAGATTGGTGTTTGACCGAATACTGAAAAGCGTGTTTTTATTTGCATCTGCAGATTTAATTCGAAGGCATCATTTTCGCATGAATTTTAAAACATTTATCAAAGAAGAGTGCTTATCACTAGTGACAAAAAGGTCATACGTCCTTCTATTCCCATGTATCAGTATCACGAACAACTTTACGCCAGGATTCATTATAACTTATGTAGAGTTGTGTAATGTCTGATTATGTAATATATTAAATACAACATGAACATTTTTAAAATCAGAATAACATGGATCCTTAAATATGAGATCAGAGACGGCTGGAATCAATTTGCATAATTTGTTTTTCTTTCTAGTCTTTGCTTTGATTAAAATCATTTTTTTTTTAAATGGTGTCATATCAAAGTCACTTCGGACAAATTACAAATGAACAACTTTCACCCCACTTTTAATCTCTCTGTTTTTTTTTTTGTTTGTTTGTTGTATTTTTTAAAAAATGTTTTCAAACTTTGCTTTCAATATACACCATGTTTATGAATTATCTAGAATGACCAGAGCCAATTGTATGTGTGATAACGGTATAAATTGACTTCACGGCACATACAGATATAGGGTAAATATGGTCACTGTCGCAACAGATCTACAAAGCCTTGTCATCAAAATTCAATGAAAAAAATGTCCTTTTTAGTTTGTCCTTACTTTATTGATTTTTTTTTTGTTTTTTTTTTTTGGGGGGGGGGGGGGGGGTTAAGATTGTACTCACTGAAAGACGAATCATCTTGATTACAATTATCTAAGATGACACGAGTTGATTTGTGTTGATTTCACATTTAATTTGGATATGTTATTTCATTTCTGAATTCTTTTTTTGTCTAAAGTAAACTTCATTGTCATTTTATGAGATTTTTAATGTAAGATAGATTTGCTTAAAAATTGATAAAAATAATAATTATATAAATTAATAAATAAAAAATGAATAAATGTAAAAATAACAAAAAAACTAAGAAATAACTGTAGAAAAAAAAAAAAAAAAAAAACAGAAAAAAAAATGAATTAAAGTTTAAAGTTTGAATTGAATAATCACTAATTACAATAAAATTAACAACTTTATAAACAATACCGTTTGATAAACACTTACAGTAAAGAAATTTTGTTAATCCAACTGCTGATCTTAAAACCAAATTTTCACTGACAGAATGGAAAGTTGGATTATATATGTAGATAATTCTGGGATAGTTCAGATCTTATCAAATACAATAACCTGTCTAAATCTATCATGAAGTAAGTCTTGAGGGAGGCTGCGTTCTGATTCATACTACAGAGTTGTTAATACCTGTCCCAAATGAGTCTTTATACAAATATACCCAGTACATTTCAATTCACTTATCATGTCATGTTTATCGTCTGATACAATTGATTGTGGCTTCAGAAATCGTCACAAAAGTGCTTTAACTGTTCTAGTATTTTAACCTACAATCTTGTGGAAACATGTGGATTAAAATCTGAAATTTTGCAGGGATTAATGTACTGTCCCAACTGATACTTCCTACACATAAAATAAAAGTGATTTTATAGCAATAAATGGGGTCGCGGAAATGTCAGATTTAATGATCAGTCTGGGAACAAAGAAATACATGAAAATATCAAACATTAATTAATCTCTTATTAAATGTTATAGACTGTTTACCAAACAAATCAGATCTACAAAACAAAAGTAAATATGGCTGATACTAAGCAGTTCTAGATAACTCCATATAGGAATTAATCCAACTAAAAAGAAAATTATTGGCCTTTTATGGCGGTTTTGGGCCAATTTAAGTATGTAAAAAAATATCAGCAATACAAGATCTCAGGATGTCAAATTCTGGAACTATCAATTACTCTTTAGGGTTTTAGTGGGTTTTTTTAAGCAATTAAAGCATTTCTTCCCTTTCGATAGTAACATTTTTTTAGAAGTTTTGTAAATATATATCTTTATCGTAAAAAGATATTTATTCAAAAACCGTTACTAAATGATCATGGCGTCCGTAATCAGTATGCTATATTTATTCATTCATTCATATTTTTCATGTCGGGGCCTTTTATAGCCGACTGTACGGTATAGGGTTTCCTCAATGTTGAAGGCCGTACGGTTGCCTAAAATTGCATACATCCTCTTCATTTGAACTTTGGTGGATATTTGTCTCATTGGCAATCATACCACATCTCCTTATTTTTATATCTATTTATAATATAATTTTCATGGTTCCAGTGGTTATATGCATTTTGTTTGGTCTTGAGTCAATGTTTCATAAGTAGCAGAAACAATGAAATTCTACTCAAAATTGTATTACATACTCATGTCTATATTACAACAATTTTGTTTCATTAAACATAACACGGCAACATTCCCTAAATGTGTACCAAAGGAACATCGATTTATTGTTGTTCTCCATCTTAAAGCGTGTTTGTTTCTGAGAAAACGACTGTTGCATCATATAGAATCTATGGAAACGGACAACAGGATGGTTTGTTGAGAATAAAGTTACTTGTTAGACAAAGATAGAAAC